AGATAATTATCGGGCTCTTGGATACGACTCGCGACCTAATCGACAACAAACTCACGAGTAGTTCATACCTATTATTAACAGTTATCTTATGTTTGGTGAGATCCCAGCTAATGGGCGACAACTGCGGCAATGGTATAGTCATGGGGTTGGCTGCGATGGTGTCCTGATTGAGGGGAAGCCCTGATTGTGCGGCTCCGACCAGTTTGAGCATTGAGTAGAACTGATGTCTGGAAAGGGAGGACACAGTCGATGGTGAACCGCCGACACATAACTCCAAGATCTGTCACAAACAGACAACTTATGAGAGAGAGAGAGCGACACACAGTCACACCGCCAGTGTCACCATTACCTGATCCAGCACTTGGGCGTCCAGTTGAGACGAGTGCAGCAGCTGTATGGCCACGGGTTTGGCAACGGATCCGCTGTTGCTGTGGTCGTAACACGTGAACAAATGGCCAAACAGTTGCCTCTCATTATCACTCAATTCGATGCCATTCGTGTCCATTATCTCCACATCTGATGCAATCACTCGGCGATCGCTGTGTCCGATGGTCACCACCGGCTATCACAAGACTATTGGTTTGGCGTATAATTGACGGGAAACTCAGTTAACAATAATAAACGGGTAATTGTCCGCAAAATGTCATCAATGGCTAAACATTTACTACAAAAAATATATATTTATATTGATTTAAACCCTAATTACTAATGATTTTTGTGTCCGACTTCACAGTAAACGTGGTCTTGATTTGTAATGTCTCACAAAATGAAAAACCAATTAAAAACTAATTATGTTATATATAGAATGTATGATTATTTACAATCACAATTATATGTCACCACAAAAATGACACCAATTTGTAACCAAGAGTACAGTGAAATGGTTGGATCCGTATGTGTGACACACACATCATATGAACGCATAAAAACTAATTAAAACAATTGCTTTTAATATTGAATTAATGATAACATAAAACACAAAAATATAACACAAAATGTTTGGCGAGAAACACACAGTGTTTACCCAAAAAACTCTATGCTTTTCGTATCCATTCACACAATCAATGCTTTCCAATAGGCATTGCTATGCACTCACAGACTCCACTCACATCGACATCAATAGCACTGTATTACTAATGATGTTGTCGTATGAGTTGAATGAAAGTCAATGCACTCCACCACTAGTTTAGTCCCAAAAAACTAGTCAAATATATGATTGAAGAACTCGTTTCTCAATACTGTATTTAAATTTTTCGTTTTCATATTTAGTAGTTTTAATACTGTATTCACTGTTTCGAGTGGTGATACACACCTACCCCTAGGAGTGCGGACCTTTGGCCGACATTCACCGTCCGATACAACTAATAATTTCACGTTTCAAATGTCAAAAACAAATTTTATTTAATGTTATTTAATCGCCAATTATTCACAAACTTATTACAAAAGAATTTGCAAATTCTTATACAAATTATATTTATACCAATTGTTAGAAAAAACTTTTTTTTACTCGTACTTAGTCTCCTATAATATGATATTCAATGCTATTATTTATTACAATTGACAATAATATTGAACTTATTTAACGCTATCTTATCGCAAAAATTGTTGTCAAAAATAATGTGTGAATCGAAATGATTTGAGAGAAAAACAAAACATTATCTCAATATATATAACACAACTGAATATCAATTAACTGAAACGTCAATATAATAAAAATTAAAATTATAAACATAATGTCAAATGAATACATGATAATATATAAGACTAATAAAGGTAATAATGAAAACCAAAAAATGAATCAATACGTGAAACAAACA